TCTTCATTCTCCCAGTCCCTGCCTTTGCCTTCTGTGGTTTGGGCGGTGAGTCTTGAGCACTCGCTGGTGAAGACCGAGGAAGAAAAGTCATTGAGTACCTCAGCCTTCTCCATATCCTGGGTAACCAGGTCTCCCGTTTCATTCCGGAGAGGGCCCACATTTTCCCTAGTCTTCCTTTTATGCCCGACGTACCTATAGAAGCTTTTCTTGTTGCCCTTGACATCCCTGGCCAGATTTAATTCTATCAGGGCTTTAGCTTTCCTAACCTGATCCCTTCTGCTCGGACAATGTCTCTGTATTCCTCCCAGGCTACCTGTCCTTGCTTCCACCCTCTGTGGGCTTCCTTTTAGTGTTTGAGTTTGTCCAGGAGCTCCTTGTTCATCCATGCAGGCCTCCTGGTGTTTCTGCCCGTTTATGGTCCAGCAAAATTAAAACTCAAAAAAATCTCACCTGTTTTGCTTATATCAAACATTCACTCACGTTATTTCCAATTCACCAGAAAATAGATGCTGCTTTCATACATGTACAGAGAAAACAAAAATCTTCATTTTGCTGTCACCTTGTGAACCAAATACACAAGTTGCATCAAGTTTTTGTCACACAGTCTCTTGTCTGCGTTCTGTACATACACAGCAACACTGCACATCAGCTTGATCAGCATGTCGGATACAAATAATTATATCATCACTTTTTATTTCTGTCTGAAACATTGTTAGATTCAAGAGTCCCCTCTAGAATGGTTGCCAGCCTGGGAAACCTCTAAAGAAAGTCTGTAGTTATTGAATTCCTAATTTCTGTAGCCTACGCATTTCTCTTCCTTTCTAGAAGTTATTTTTATATAGTAGAGACTTTTTTGGTTTTAAGACAGTATTTTTTTTATATATTTTAATACACCATCATCTTGGCCTGTATTTCCTGAATTCCTGCTTCTCTTCCACGTGTGCTGAAATGCTTGGAATGCCACCCACAGCTCAGATAGATCACTCCTACAGATGTATCCAGGGTAACCAGCATAGAGACACCCACATAAAATTTGTTGCAATGACTGGAAATGCTGTATTAGTAACTCACTTATATGTTGTTATGTAGTCCAAGAGGAATAGGGCATCCATAATCAGAGACTGCACAACTGGCACGTTCAGAAATCACCTGCAGGTTCTGCACTTTGGTGTATCATAGAATCATAGAGTCATTTAGGTTGGAAAAGATCATGCTTATGTTGTTTGTCCTCTTCAGCTATATTTGTTTGGTATTTCTGCAATATCGACGGAAATTCCAGTTTGCAGTTCATTACAATTGCTGAATATTTCTTACATTATGCTTTTTATTATTGGGCTAATTTGTATTATTTTAGGCTTTACTCAAAATCAGGGCTGTTTTTTGCTATGTAAAGGTATTATATTGATAACATGAAGAAAAGGGAAACTGTATGCCTGTACCTGTAGGTAATATAAATGAGTGATCAAAGGTAGGAAGATCAATAGAATGAAATCAAGACAAAGAAGAGCTGTGATTTGCCCAAAGTCAGACACCAGAAGCCTGGAGTACAGTTGAGAATTTAATGTAGATGAGCCAAGTCCCAGTCTAGTATCTTGGTGACAAGATCATCTTTCTGCAAAATAATTTTTTTACTGTTTAACTGGTATTTGAGCACGCCTTTTGTAAAGGAAGATTTTACACGGCTTTTTTATGAAATATCATCATCTTAATTATTTTTCATGTAGTGATCTATTATCTTTCCATTACGTTAGGGGGGAGATCTATTCGATGCTATCACTTCTTCTACAAAATATACAGAGCGAGATGGGAGTGCAATGGTCTATAATCTAGCCAGTGCACTGAAATACCTTCATGGTCTCAACATTGTGCACAGAGACATCAAGCCAGAAAATCTCCTGGTATGTCCCATTTATTGTCTAATATTTTCTCTCACTTTGTTCTCATTAATGCAAATGCTTTTATATAAATGTCAAGGAGCTGAGCAGAGAACAGCAGGCATATTAATTTTGAATAAGTATGTATGAAATAAATCTTCTGTCATGAGATAGCAATCACCATAACCCAAATGTGTTGTGCTCAAAGCTGTTCTTAGACCTATCTTTATTTACATTTTGATTGGCTGCCATTTGGATAAGCAGGAGTATTGTCTCACAAAACAATGAATTTTAAAGCTATGTCGATGAATTATTTATTCTAGTTTGCAGTTGGGAAAAAAGGTGGGCTGAGGGCCATTTCTTTGAATGATCATATGGTTATCTCAAGTAATTTTTTTTTTCTTTTTCTTTCACTGTCATAGTAGGAACATCTTTCTGATGATTTACCAGTATTCTAGCCATGAATTAACTCTGTACATACATTTATTTTGTCCTAGGGGACTGAGTACTTTTGTTTTCAGCAAAGACATAAAATAACTGTGTTGACAAGAATTACCCTGAAGTCTGTTTTGGGAACTGCTTAGACTACAGTTCGCAGAATGGGAACAGCGTGCTATCTTGCTTATACAAAGACATTATACTTACGTATTACATATTGGGTATTAGATATTATGTGTCGTGCACTGAACAAACAGGGCCATAATCTCCCCTGCTTGAGCCACTGTCATCAGGAATGCTAGTAGCTTTCATCAACACTTGGTGGGCATTTCTTAAAGCCTTCTGTGGTGTTTGTCAATCCTGTTCAGTGAGGTTGCATCTAGAGTAGAAGTCATGGCTTATCCCAGATCGGATTTTGAACTATTACAAGGATAGGGCTATAACCTGAAAATATTTTCCATTAATAGTCAATTCTTTCCCAACTAATTCAACTGACAGTGTTTAGCAATTTAAATAAGCCCTGAAATAAATTAGATTGTTTAGCAAAAGGAAGGGGGGGGCCCTTCTCCTGGAAAATGTAGTCACAGCAACATGGCACTTAAGAGAAAGAAAATGAAGGTGGAGGTCTCACTTATTGTCAGTGCATCTTCAAACACAGCCAGTCCAAAGAAATTTTAAGCTCTCATTAGTGATTGAATCAGTTATAAATAGGCACAAATGTCCTTTCTGCCTAGAAAGCCTAAAGAGATTACTTAACAGATGCAAATCTTATTCACTGTGATTGACAGTGGCAGAATGTGGCAAAATGTTAAGATAACATACTGGTATTGAATGTAAATGCAAATAATTCCCATCAATTGCTACCTATAATTGCAAGTAGTTAGTTCTTTTGCACAGCTGTCTGAATTACATTCTCTTTACTAGTCATGCATTTAAAAATACAAACTCTAAGAGTAATAGCAGATATGAAGGTGTTATATCAAGGAGAACAAGTGTTACCATTAATGATATGAATTACACAGGGGAATGAAGGAAGGTATTGCTGCCTTAGCAGTATTCAGCCATTCTGGAGATTCTGGTGTCCTACATTCTAGAAACTAGATTCCATTGAAATCATGTTAACATAAACATTTTACTTTAAGAACAAAACCAAGATTAATTTATTAGGGATGTTTCCTTTGCTGTTGGTCTGGTTTGATTTACTCTTGCTATCACTGTCATATAATACTTTTCTTTCTATTAAAATTTAGTTTCTTTCATCAACAAAATGACTCAGAACAAAATGTGCTACTTTCTTTACAGGGCTTTTGGTAAGATGCACTTGGGTCTGCACAGAAACCTAAACACTTCTCAGCTTTCTCACTCCTGTACTGAACTTGCCTAGACTAAGTTTAGGGAAGACATTTGCCTATGAAATATTCAGTATGCTAACTGACAAGATTTATGCTAAGTTAGTGAGAGATGTTAAACAAATCTGATTATAGCTGTCAATCCCATTTTAAACTCTAGGTCTCAAACGAATGGAAGTAGAGTATTATATTTTTCTTAATATATTTAAAACTTCTCAGCATTCTAGGATTGAGTTTTCTTTTCATTCTAGTTGCTTGAGGCTGTATCATGATCTGATCTACATAGCTGGCAGACAGCTCCATTGAACGCTAGCTCCAGCTGCACCATGGTAATCAATGGTCGTACCATTTTTCAAAAAAGGGCTGTGGAGGTTACCTCTTTTTCCTGTCTTCTCGGTGTGATGATTATTATTTTCCAAACAAATTAAAGGATTTAAATAATGCAGATGTTCTCCTCATTCTGTTTTTATTTTGCTGATTCTAGGTATGTGAATATCCAGATGGAACCAAGTCTTTGAAGCTAGGAGACTTTGGACTGGCGACTGTGGTTGAAGGACCTTTATATACTGTCTGTGGTACACCCACATATGTGGCTCCAGAAATTATTGCAGAGACAGGGTGAGGATGACTGACTAAGATACAGGTTTTGTAACCAGTTATTTTTGGCAGGTAGTTCCTAATTGTTCTAAGAACTAGAATGCTCTAATAGGATGGGCCTCCATCTTTTTGTAACCAAACCACCTATGAGAAAACAGGCATCATTCAGTTCCTCGAAAAGGCCAGTTTCCTCGCTCACCCTGCTCCCAGAATTCACCATTGCCTCCTTACCATCTCCCTTGGACTAGCGCTGGTGCAGTGGAGTTTATTGGTTTGTGCTCCCTGCCTCACCTCACCATTCAGAGCCCATTGGACCAGCCATCACAGCTGCTTGGGGAAAAAAAGACAAGCAAAACACAGTGTTCATGTTAGAAACAGAATCATTTATATTGGAAAAGGCTCCAGAGGTCACCTAGTCTAAACCTGTTCTTGGAGCAGGTCTAATTAGATCATGTTGATTCAGGTGACCTTGTTTGGGTGACACATGCCATTTGGTAACTGTTGGTTTAATTAAACAACCTCATTTTTCTGTATTTAAAGATGGTTGCATAAATACAAAATAATTTTGTAAAATGGTAGAATTTCACAAGTCGTCTTTCCTTTTAGACCTATTAGACCTCTGTTCCATCCTAGCTGACTCTTGCCCTAGCTGTGACCATTCTGAATTTGGTCTTCCTAATGGAGGAAGGTTTGTTGTTTGTATTGTTTCAAGCATTGTTCAGTGCATTTGTCATATCGAGAAGTATTTCACAGCTGCCGTGAGCTCAAATGTCAAAGGGCACTTCATCTGCATGTTTTAGATTTTTGACAAACTGAATCTACTGGATAGAAGAGAATAGGAAAAAAGACCTCTTTTTGACCTCTAGTGTTTTAGTTTCTGTGCTTTAAAAGAAAAGTGCAGTTCTTTTTCCCTGTGTTATTCATTCAAGAGACTGGAGAATTGGTATCTTTCTTGTTGCTTAGCAACACATGATAATCTTAGAGATAGTTACCCCAATATGGGGACTGAGAAAGCACATCCTTGTCGTTTATCATGAGTGATTTTGGATTGGGAAACCTTGATACTGAATTGAATCTGAGTATATTCAGAAGACCCTGGAGAGCCTTGAGGCTTATGGGAAGGAAAAAAAAAAAAAAAAATCAATGAAAAATGATGTTACTATGGTTTCCTAAAGAGTGTGAAGGATGCTAAGTAAAATGATGCTTACGTACAAAATGCATATCCACATCATCGGCAAGTAACTTAGAACAGATTCTCAATATATATTCATGTAAATGTAATCAATTGTTTGATTGGAATGACTTTTTTAAACCAGCACAAGTAACACAGTCTTGTTTTCTCAGATATGGCTTAAAGGTGGATATTTGGGCTGCAGGTGTGATCACATACATACTGTTATGTGGATTTCCACCTTTTCGCAGGTGAGTCTGCATGTCAGAGAGAAAAACAGTAAAGAACCAAGTTTTTTCTGAGCAAATCTTTCACCTATCTCACTGAAGAAGGCATCCTGGGGAAAAAAATGGATTGGATTGACACATTTTCTTTACCTTTTTGTTCTTTTTTTAAATTGTTTTCACTTGTCCCTCTTGTCAGGTTTTGGGATCAATTTTATTTACTTATTTTTCTAAGGGAGCAACTGGTTTAGTGCTGTGTGGAGGGATATGGTGGTATGAGGGCATAGTTTCTTCTCCTTTTGTCTGCTATGTGTGTCCCAGCTCAATGAACGTGTATACTTTGCCCTCTAGTGTTTCTGTTTGGACATAGCAGATTACTGGTTTGTAGTGTTGAGGGTGAAGGTTATTGGTAAACTGAGATGAGGGGAAGAATTTGCTTATGTTGCATTTTTAACCTTGTTAATCTTTTTGATAAGTGTCATATGAGCGATGGAGTTTGCAAACATGAATCTTGCTACTCAATGTCACAATACGTATGAGTTCTACTAAAAATCAAATGGATATGCTTTATGCCTCAGAAATTTTTTTGCCAGGGAATGAGAAGGAATTAGCACATTTTAATAGGAATTCTCCTTTTAACTTATAAGAAGTTATTTGTGTACAGTCTGTTTGTCCATTTTTACAGCAAAATACTTAGTTTTTAACTAAAAGTCACCAGACTGGATATTTTGCAAAGAATACAATATAAACAATTGTCAATGGAAAAATTATCATTTAGTTTAGGTATTTGGGTTTTGCATGTGGTTAGTTCATGTTTAAAACTGAAAACATGTTTTGAAAGATATACAAACAAATGGCAATTGCTTTGAATAGAGTTTGGGGGTTGGGCATGGAGAATGTCCATACCATGCTATTAGAATCAGATCTTAACCAAGGTTAATAAATATTTATTGCAAAACCAACCCAAGAGGTAAATTGTTCATTACAGAAATAGGTTGGGTGGCTGTTCACAGTGGCTAGGGCCAACAAACAGAGGTTAAAAACCAAAAAAGCCACTGCCATTGATCCCTGAATATTCATGATACCATGTTTTTGATATGAAATTTCTTATCCTTTCAATATCAGTAGCCTGCCAATACTCAGTAAACTAAATGTATCATGTGTTTTCCATATCTCCTCTTTGGATTTTGAAAATTCTCCTGTTGTGATGATAGTTTAACAGAAGAGGCTCATTTCACTACACTTCTTCCCCCTGTTGTATGCTTTCTGTAGCAGGTCCTTTAGAACTTGCCAGGCTGGCAAGTGACTTACTTATTTTTTAATCACCTTTCCTTTTCCTGTATGTTAGCTATGCAGTCTCTATTCCAGTGGAAGTCCTTTCACCTCAATATACTAGTTTTTCTGTTCTCATCACTCCTGACAGCGTAACTATGGCAAACACCTCAGAAGTGCTGCCACTGTATAAGCTTGCAAATTGTGCATTTATAGTAGTTGATATAACATCATTTCTGTTCCATCCCCAAATCAAGTTAAAAATTCGCACAACAAATTGACTTCTTTCTCATGATCTTTTTCATTATGCTATTCTACAGTGAAAACAACCTTCAGGAAGACCTCTTTGATCAGATACTTGTTGGGAAGCTGGAATTTCCTTCTCCCTACTGGGATAACATCACTGATTCAGCAAAGGTACTGATACGTTTTCCAACCTGAAATAGTGTTTCTGACAAGCCACTGAAAAGACTGTGCTGTGTTGGAAAGGCAGAATAGAAGATTCAGAACAGACTCTTACCCACTCTTCCAGCTGCTGTGCCTTATTAGTTAGTTAGCTTAACAGTGCTTGATGAAAGCTCAGGTTTTCCAGGCCATCGTTATTGTCTGAGTGAGTAACTGTAGCAGAATGCCAATTGCATTCCGTGAACATCACATGCTATTCAGTTTAATTAATGATGGACTATTAAAACAGGTCAGTGCTTCAGCTGTAAAATAAGAGTGTCTCTGAATTTTTCCCTCCTATCACTCTTTTAAAAAACAAAAAGTATTGCTTCAGTGTGGACTGAATGCAATTGACATAATTTGTCCTATTTTACTTGAGCCAGTTATTAGAACTTTTCAAGAGGTGCAGCCAGCTTGATTTGCCATTCCTTAATAGTTCTTGTGTTATCATTGCCATTTGTGTTTAAAATGATTGTGTCTGTAGGATAAGGGATCCAACTTTTAAGCTCCACTTCTCAAGCTAGTTCAGTAACATGCTCTGAATGCTATCTGAGGACACTAATTAGCAAGTGGAGATTATTTGTTATCCAGCCAATGAGAAGTTGTATTTTTTCTGCATTTCCCAAAGGCTGTTTATCCATTTGCCAACATTTCCCAAGCTCCATCTCACTCTTCCAGACGTGCATTCTGAACAAACAAGGCCCTCGATCTTTGTACGAAAGGTGACCTTTCACTTCAGACTTACACGGACTAAATAGGAACTAAACAGGCCTAAATAGAGGGAAACCTCTCAGGTATGTTATTATAGAATAGAATCATTTACTAGGCAAGGAGAGTTTAGAATCATAGAATCATTT